ACTTAGCTTTAAATGCATGACGTATTATCTCAAATTATCATACAGGTTAATTGTCACCAGGAAAATACAAAAACTAAAACATAATGAATAACTACATAAACAAATTATATATTATTTTTTTGACAATTTGCGGACCATAGATATGCAAATTGTCAAAAATATCATAAGGACCTAAGAGCTATGGTTCCGCAGCTAGGGAACAGACATGGAATTACTTTAGCTATTGCACTGTAGACTCTTCAGTACATAAACTATTATACAAAAAAGGGGGGCAGGCCCCCTGGAAAACCCTCTAAATCCGCCTCTGAGTAACATCTAATAAACTGACTTTACTTTAGACGAAGTAAACGTCATTGGGCGATATTTCGAAATTTTACTAAATTGTGTATGCATTTGAATATCGAAAATTGAATATAAGTAGAAAATACATTTCTAGATATACAATCAATCAGAATCAAATAGTCCCTAAAAATGTATAGAATAAAATTATTTTTTTTTGCTTAAAATTGTGATTTCTCAAAATTCCGTATACAGCTTTTTGTTTAAAAATGATATTTTATTCATGTGCGAAATATTATAAAAGGGACACCAAATTAGTTTTTGCATATTTCACTTCATAGATAATGTTGGGGGATATTCATTCTATTTTTTATTATCCCCTATGTGTATGAGGGTCTGACGGGGGTTTACAGAATCGAGAAAAACAGGCAAAAAATAAAGAATAGAGAATAACGGGGATGCTTAAATATAAAAAATAAAGAATAGAGAATAATGGGGATGCTTAAATATAAAAAAATAAAGAATAGAGAATAATGGGGATGCTTAAATATGAAAAATAGAGAAACATAGGCAAAATCTATAAAGAATAGAGAAAAATGGGATTTAAAAAATTAAAGAATACAGAGTTGAAGGACCCCCATCAGACCATCATGCATATATGTTTTCAATATTTTAAGTGAAGCGAGCAATGTCAAACATTATTTAATGGACAGTATCTTTATTTATTGACACTAACTACGCCTATCAGTACTCTAATCGCGCTAAGATCGAACATAACTACATCTATCAGTAAATAAATCACGCACAAGTCGAATATAAATACGTCTATTAGTAATTTCATCACACACAAGTCTAATATAACTACGTCTATCAGTAATTACATCACACACAAGTCGAATATAACTACGTCTATTAGTAATTACATCACACAAAATTCTAATATAACTACGTCTATCAGTAATTACATCACACACAAGTCGAATATAATAACTACGTCTATTAGTAATTACATCACACAAAAGTCTACTATAACTACGTCTATCAGTAATTACATCACACACAAGTCGAATATAACTACGTCTATTAGTAATTACATCACACAAAAGTCTACTATAACTACGTCTATCAGTAATTACATCACACAAAAGTCTACTATAACTACGTCTATTAGTAATTACATCACACAAAAGTCTACTATAACTACGTCTATCAGTAATTACATCACACACAAGTCGAATATAACTACGTCTATTAGTAATTACATCACACAAAATTCTAATATAACTACGTCTATCAGTAATTACATCACACACAAGTCGAATATAATAACTACGTCTATCACTTATTATAATTAGTACATCACACAAAAGTCTAATATAACTACGTCTATCAGTAAGTACATCACACAAAATTCTAATATAACTACGTCTATCAGTAATTACATCACGCACAAGTCTAATATAACTACGTCTATCAGCATTTACACCACGCACAAGTCGAATATAACTACGTCTATCAGTAAGTAAATCACACAAAGTTCGAATATAACACTATACACCGATCAGAAAATGCATCGATCAAAAGTCAAAGCAGCTTGGTGACACATTTCAGCTTTAAAGACTTCAAATACCGGTTTTAGAAAAACAAATCGCTACCGACAACAAAGGTTATGACCAAAATCCTTCTTAAGGGGTTCCCCTTGTGGGGCAGGATCTGCTTACCCTTCCGGAACACTTGAAATCACCCTATCCCCACACACCCCGGTTTTTGATGGGGTTCGTGTTGCCCAGTCTTTTGCTTTCTATGTTGTGTTTTGTGTATATATACTGTTGTTTATCTTTTGTTCTTTTTGTTTTTTGCTCCTTGTATTACAAAAAAAAAAATAAACATATTATCGCCTCCTAGAAAAAGTAAATTCAATGATGATCGGATTAGAAAATATTGTAAGAAATTGTTTTCTTTTCCAGCACACCAGCCCTTGCTTTGGGTATAACGTTTGGAATATGCTTTGCTGTATTGGTGATAGTTTTATTAATATCCGTGTGTAGAGCAATTTTTTGCCCGAAGAAACAGCGATTAGTTCAACCTGAGAAACATGAAAAACGTTTGGCGGACAAAACTGAAAATACTAGAGAAAGATCTGTATATCTTAAAACGATTCCACATTCACCTGTTTATCTCTAACCTGTTCCTACCAGTTTTGTTCACCGAAATCCGTGTTTACAAAAAAAAAGAGTGTTCTACACTGAAGATCCCGAGAGAATAGACATATATATGTTAACTATCCTAATACCACTGATCAAATTGTTTATCCATAAACACGTATATGAGAATAATGTCCATCCATAAACACGTATATGAGAATACTGTCCATCCATAAACTCGTATCTGAGAATAATGTTCATCCATAAACACGTATCTGAGTATAATGTCCATCCATAAACACGTATCTGAGAATAGAATAATGTCCATCCATAAACACGTATCTGAGAATAATGTCCATCCATAAACACGTATCTGAGAATAGAATAATGTCCATCCATAAACACGTATCTGAGAATAATGTTCATCCATAAACACGTATCTGAGAATAATGTTCATCCATAAACACGTATCTGAGAATAGAATAATGTCCATCCATAAACACCTATCTGAGAAATAATGTCCATCCATAAACACGTATCTGAGAATAATGTTCATCCATAAACACGTATCTGAGAATACAATAATGTCCATCCATAAACACGTATCTGAGAATAATGTCCATCCATAAACACGTATCTGAGAATAGAATAATGTCCATCCATAAACACCTATCTGAGAAATAATGTCCATCCATAAACACGTATCTGAGAATAATGTTCATCCATAAACACGTATCTGAGAATAGAATAATGTCCATCCATAAACACGTATCTGAGAATAATGTCCATCCATAAACACGTATCTGAGAAATAATGTTCATCCATAAACACGTATCTGAGAAATAATGTTCATCCATAAACACGTATCTGAGAATAGAATAATGTCCATCCATAAACACGTATCTGAGAATAGAATAATGTTCATCCATAAACACGTATCTGAGAAATAATGTTCATCCATAAACACGTATCTGAGAAATAATGTTCATCCATAAACACGTATCTGAGAAGAATGTCTATTCAGAAAAACGTAATTTAGATCATTGTTTATCATACAAAAATAACATATATGAGAAAAATGTCTGCCAAACAAAACGCATCTGAGAACATTTTATATACTGCAAGAACGCCTTTGAGAACAAACCAAAATTCTAAAATTTTATAAAAATGTTCATCTTGAAAAAAATGGTATCCGGGAAAATGTTTATTCTTAAAAATATTTGAGAACCATTTTAATTCTGTGAAATATAACTGAGAAAATTAATCATCATATAAACATATCTGAGAACAAAGTCTATCCTGAAAACGTATATGAGAACAAAGTCTTTCCTGAGATTGCATACATGTGAGAACAAAGTCTATCCTGAAAACGAAAGTCTATTCTGAAAACGGTATCGGAGAACAAAGTCTATCATCAAAACCGTATCGGAGAACAACAGGCTTTCTTTTACTTTAGGGGTCCCATCCCATATAGATCCAGACTAAACTATCCATTATCCTAAACCTTACCATAACTCATAACCAAATAACCAATCCTAACACTAGCCCTCACCTTAAAACCTAACCCTAGCCCTAATTTTAAAATCTAACCCTAGCCTAGAACATCCCTTAACCTAACCGTAACCATAAATGAATCCTAACCCTATAAAGGAATAGGGACCCCTAAAGTAAAAGAAATCCGAACAACGTGAACGTATATCATGCGAAACATTTCTGAGAACAGTCTATCCTGAAAAACGTATCTGAGAACAATGTCTATCCTGAAAATACTGACATATTTGAGAACGATGTTTATCCTAATAAACGTACCAGCGGAATGCAATCTAGAAACTTTGTCATTATCGCTACACCTACATGAGAACGACCGATACGAAGGCGTAGCGAGAATGGCCGAGTAGTTATGACGTAGGGTAAATGTTTCAATAGAGTAATTTCCAAGTGCTCACACATAGGAGGGATTTACAAGAGAGGAAAACAGTACAAAATGAAATATGATAATATTGATAAATAGCGTGCAATATTTAGGCATGTAAAAATAAAAAGAGATTTATAAAACCATATTTATATGTCTGCAAATACAAAGGCAAGCATTTATTTGAATAAACTTTCTATTGTTTTATCGCAACACAAGTTTCACCTATTTACCTATTAAAATATGTGCGGATGGACAGACAAACGAACCAACGGTCACTATACACTTTACTGTAGCAGGGAATAAACAGCGTTGGAGAAAGACAGCCAGACAGAAGGATCACTAAACATTTATCATGTTTATGTAACAAGAAATCAACAGTGTTGGTTGACGGATGGACGGACGAACAAACATGCGGACGGACGGAAACAACGATCACATTACACTTTGCTGTGCAGGGAAATTACCTATATTATGATGTTTATTGTTATCATCATATTTCAAAACCTTTCAAAAACAAAAACTGTGTATTTCTAAATTGTGTACAGTAATATTATTTTAAAACATTTTGATATGCATTTAATAAATTTACATTTTCAAAAATATGTATTGAAAACGTTCGTATTTTAATACAAGTTACGGTTCAGTTGTTAGCATCTATAACAGTATTGTCAATTCGATATTGAAAAAATAAAGTGGTTTAAATTTAAATTCATATTAACTTCATGTTTGGAAATATGCCAAAGAGGAATAAGTAAAATACACGAATAACGATGAACAATTTATGGACAATTTCAATTGTATATGTGAAGTTCGGTAAGTTTGTAATTTAAGTTAATTTGGAAAGAAATATAACTGAAAAAATAAAATTCATCATAAAACGTTACGTGACGGTGTGTATTGATTTGAGTGTCAAATCATGTCTTGATCCATTTATCATTTCTTTTGTACACATGGATAAAAAAGAGGGAGAAGACACCACAGGGGCATTAAAAAACAGTAGGTCAATATAACGACTAAAAGACAGACAACAGCAAAAACACTATATCAAAAACTAAAGATAGAACACAGAGCGGTGACTCAGGTATTCAGAGAAAGTCATCAACACCTGCTCCTTAAGTGACCCCGTTTGGCGTTTCCAGAGCGCAAAAGGGGATAGGGGGTTTGCTTCCTTCGTCGATGTATGATTGTTAACTGCTCCATTCCTCGACGTATGATTGTTTACTGTTCCCTTTGTCAACGTTTGATTGTTTACTGTTCCCTTTGTCAACGAATGATTGTTTACTGTTCCTTTCGTCAACGTATGCTTGTTTACTGTTCCCTTCGTCAACGTTTGATTGTTTACTCTCACTTTATCGATGTTTGATTGTTTACTGCTTCCTTCGTTGACGTATGATTGTTTACTGCTCCCTTCATCGACGTTTGATTTTTTATGGCTCCAGTCATCGACGTATGATGTTTACTGCCCCATTCATCGCCGGTTGATTGTTTACTGCTCCATTCATCGATGTTTGATTGTTTACTGCTCTCTTCATTGACGTAATTTCGTTTACTGCTCCCTTCATCGACGTTCGATTGTTTACTGCTCAATTCATCAATGTATTTTATTTTCTGCTCTCTTCATCGACATTTTATTGTTTACTGCTCCATTTATCGACGTTCGATTGTTTACTGCTTCATTTATCGACGTATGATTGTTTACTGCTCCATTCATTGACGTATGATTGCTTACTGCTTCCTTCATGATCGTAACTATGATTATTTAATAGTGATCAATTCATCGACTTTTGATTGTTATTGCTCCATTTATCGTCGTTTGATTGTTTATGGCTTCCTTCAATGTCTTCATTGACGTGTGATTGTTAACTGCTCCATTCGTCGGCGTTTGATTGTTTATGGCCTTCTTCATCAACATGTGATTGTTAACTGCTCCATTCGTCGACGTTTGATTGTTTATGAAACATAACATCTTCAGGAACGACGGATTCTTTTCAGAATATGTCATGTATCATGAATAAGATATGTTAATGAGTTTACATCAGGTGTACTTGTTTTATTAAAGAAAACGAACAAAATCGAAGTTTAGCTGAGAAATTGATTGCGCTTTTCGCGACTTAGATATCAATCAGTCTACTTTAGTACGGATTTATGGTGAAACATTCATTAACCATCCAAAGCATCACCTCGCGCAATCGACTGCGAAAACTGAGGACAGAATGAACTCTTTCAGAACTCTTTTAGACTCGGGTCGATTTAGCGCATGACATATTGTATATACACACCATAGGTGTGTGTATACATAGGTGTATACATAGGTGTTTATATTGTATATACACACCTATTTTTTGTTTATTAACTACCGCAATGTTAACGTACTATATATTTTATTCTTTCTATGTCGATGGGTTGTTTCTTCATTGATGTATACATACCTAACATCTACTTTCATATTTACCTTCTTGATAACTAGGGCATAGGTCGAAGATCAAAGTTATCTTATAATGATAGCGTTGAAGAAAAGGCCAAATGAGACTCACATTCCGAATGGTTAATGCACTTTAGTATCGACGCCTTTATTTTTTTCATCTTAAACATATTGGTAGTATATACGAAATAACCCATTTACAACCACTATTGTAGGGTTGACAATCGGTGAATGTAGTGACGGCCTTGAAGGATGCATGAGGTAAGACTTTCTTTACTATGCTCATATTGACTTCGTCGTTGGTCTGGGGTTTATCAGTCTAAGCGCGTTCGAATATTGGAAGTATATGAGAAAGAAGTTAAGACATGGTATTTTCCATATCGGTCCGGTTATCTAAAAGATAAAAAACTTACGACTAGGATTGATCGCAAGTATACTGAATTGTTCATAACTTACAATCAAATTAGTCGTAAGTTTTTTTGTGAAACCGACTTCTGGCTTATTGACAATGTTAAATCCATTAAATGTCCACAAACTGATATTACCGCAATATTTGAGAATGAAAAACTAGAGATTCCTGCAATGTAAAAATAAAGAGGTGGAAGATACCATAGGGACAATTCAAAATCATTTATTAAAACCGACAATTATACTATGACGAAAAAAAACTGAAAAACAACGAACAGATTACAGTCCTACTATAGAAAACACAACTCTACGTAGAAAACTAAAGAAAGAACAACATGAACCTTACCAAAAACAGGGGCTGAGTTACGCGAACCCTACCAAAACAGGTGCTGAGTTACACGAACCCTACCAAAAACAGGGGCTGAGTTACACGAACAAGGGCTGAGTTATACGAACCCTACCCAAATCAGGGGCTGAGTTACACGAACCCTACCAAAAACAGGGGGTGAGTTACACGAACCCTTCCAAAAACAGGGATTGAGTTACATGAACCCTACCAAAAACAGGGACTGAGTAAAACGAACCCTACCAAAGCAGGGGCTGAGTTACACGAACAAGGGATGGGTTACACGAACCCTACCAAAACAAGGGCTGAGTTACACGAACCCTTCCAAAACAGGGGCTGAGTTACACGAACCTGGGCTGAGTTACACGAACCCTACCAAAAACAGGGACTGAGTTACACAAACCCTACATAAAACAGGGATTGAGTTACATGAACTCTACCAAAAAACAGGGACTGAGTTACACGAATCCTACCAAAAACAGGGACTGAGTTACACGAACTCTACAAAAACAGGGACTGAGTTACACGAACCCTACCACAGACAAGGATTAAGTTACACGAATCCTACCAAAAACAGGGATTGAGTTACATGAACCCTACAAAAAACAGGGACTGAGTAAAACGAACCCTTCCAAAACAGGGGCTGAGTTACACGAACAAGGGCTTGGATACACGAACCCTTCCAAAACAAGGGCTGAGTTACACGAACAAGGGCTGGGTTACACGAACCCTATCAAAACAAGGGACTGAGTTACACAAACCCTACCAAAACGGGATGAGTTACAGGAACCTGGGCTGTGTTACACGAACCCTTCCAAAAACAGGGACTGAGGTACACAAACCCTACCAAAACAGGGGTTGAGTTACACGAACCTGGGCTGAGTTACATGAACCCTACCAAAAACAGGGACTGAGTTACACGAACCCTACCAAAAACAGGGATTGAGTTACATGATCCCTACCAAAAACAGGGATTGAGTACAACGAACCCTACCAAAACAGGGGCTGAGTTACACGAACAAGGGCTGGGTTACATGAACCCTACCAAAACAAGGGATGACTTACACGAACCCTTCAAAAAACAGGGGCTGAGTTACACAAACCCTAACAAAATACAGGGCTGAGTTACACGAACCTGGGATGAATTACACGAACCCTACCAAAAACAGGGATTGAGTTACATAAACACTACCAAAAACAGGGACTGAGTTACACGAACCCTACCAAAAACAGGGATTGAGTTACACGAACCCTACCAAAAACAGGGACTGAGTTACACGAACTCTACAAAAACAGGGATTGAGTTACACGAACCCTTCCATAAAAACAGGGACTGAGTAACACGAACTCTACAAAAACAGGGAATGAGTTACACGAACCCTACCAAAACAGGGATTGAGTTACACGAATCCTACTAAAAACAGGGACTCAGTTACACGAACTCTACAAAAACAGGGACTGAGTTACACGAAGCCTAGCAAAAACAGGGATTTAGTTACACGAACCCTACCAAAAACAGGGACTGAGTTACACGAACCCTACCAAAAACAGGGACTGAGTTACACAAACCCTACCAAGAAAAGGGACTGAGTTACACGAACCCTACCAAAAACAGGGACTGAACCCTACCAAAAACAGGGACTGAGTTACACGAACCCTACCAAAACAGGGACTGAGTTACACGAACCCTACCAAAAACAGGGACTGAGTTAAGCAGATTCACATGTGGCAACCGTCGTGTTAGCTTCAATTTAAGTGATTAACAATTTCAAATTTTATAATTAAAGTTCTTTTATACTGGGGGTTCTTATAACAAAATACAAAAAAAAAACGATCACTCAGGAATTCCTTTTTTCGATATATGTAGCTCATGTGGTTTGAAACCAATATCAAATACAAATGAGTATAAATTTGATTCATCAGTGAACTCGTAAAAAAACCTTGAAAATTTAAGTGTAGGGCTGATTTGGGCAGATTTCCGCTTGTACCTAAGGGAACGACCATTTAACTTCAAGGAGGGGGGCTGGGGTTATGGTTTTTTCCTAAAAAAATATTCTGATTCCCACATTGTTGAAAAAAAATATTCTGTTCAAGCAGAGGACAAAAAAAAATATTCTAAATCCAGATTTTCCCCGTACCTTATAGTGTTAAATTTTGAACAAAATAATTTGATTGATAGCTTTGAAAAACTAAAAAAAAAATTTCTGAATCAAACAAAAAACCATAACCCCCCCTCCCCCCCTTGAAGTTAAATGGTTGCTCCCTTCCCTATCTAATTATATTATACTCTCAATAAGTCAACGCCCTCCTTAAATTCTTTGTATTGGCCCAAAACCTTCACTTTATGGGATTTTACTCTTGGTTTTCATATGCAAAAAATAAATATCTCAGAACAAAAGTATCTGTCTTGCCCAAAGTTTGAACTTAGAAAGTTGATAAAAAAAATTAAGAATGATTAAGTGACCACAGTTTATTAATAGAAAGGGGAGATATCATATCTTGAAATATTAAGAGAGAAGAAATTATGCAAACACAGTTATAAAATGAAAGACGAAATTCATTTCCTTTTATATTTTGAAATTACACTATTATTAAAAAAGTTCTTTTTAATGTTCTGTGTTTTATGTATTGTCACATTGTTTTGTTTAAGGATGTTCGCTACTCTTGTTTTTGATTTTTTTGCCAGATATTCGGAATCCTCTAGTTTAATCCATTAAAAATTTTGCCCACTAATCCCCACTTTTCTTTTCATAATTTTATTGCATATAGTTTAAAAAGCCATTTTTCAAATCACAAAAAAACCTTGTTATTTTTTCATAGTTTTTGAAAGAAAAAAAAATGCCAATGTTAAATGTATGAAAAGCCTATAGAGAATCATTTCCCGCCAAATTTTCAATTGCTTATAACTCAAAAAAAAGAACACGCACCTTTCATTTTATTCTGCTTTCTAAATTCCTTAATATATATACAATCAATTGATATCAGTATTTTGAAATAAACAGAGGCACGACAATTCTTTAGTTAGGTAATGCCAAATATGTAAACTTTAAAACAGGTGACAATGACTTATATTTCAGCACTATTTACAGTGTTGGTGGATTAGTCATTGGAATTTTAATTTTCCTCGCAATATTAGCAGCAATATGTTTTGGAGTCTGCGCAGTGTGTGGATGGTCATGTGGATGTTTGAAAACAACTGAAGCCCCTCGACAATTCCGGTCAGGAACAAATCGTGTCGCTGTCACTGACTCTTCTGACAGTAAGGAAATTAGTCGATGAAAATACTAACTACAAATTTTAGAAGACAGTTTTAACTTTTCAACTTCCTGTGATATCTAAAAAAAGAGGCAGAAGATACAAAATCAACCATAAAAATCATATGTCAAAGAAAAACCGATAATCCCATGACAAAAATAAAAACAAACGAAAACGACGAAAAAAACAATCGTCAGTTTACAAATTACCATATAGAAAAATAAAGATCGAGCAACAAAAACCATAAACAAAACTGTAGTCTGAAAATTTCCACTGGTATCGAAGGTTTTTCTTATAAATTATATGATAATATTTCCACAGCATGATACGGTAGTCTCTTTCTCATGATATCTCTCTCAAGCTTGAGAGCTTTCGGGATGGTCCTATTTCTCCTGAGATCGCTCTCAAGCTTGGGAGCTTTATGTATTGGTTCCTCTTTCTCCTAATATTGCTCTTAAGCTTGAGAGCTTTAGGTATTGGTTCCTCTTTCTCCTGATATCTCTCTCAAGCTTTAGGTATTGGTTCCTCTTTCTCCTGATATCTCTCTCAAGCTTTAGGTATTGGTTCCTCTTTCTCCTGATATCTCTCTCAAGCTTTAGGTATTGGTTCCTCTTTCTCCTGATATCTCTCTCAAGCTTTAGGTATTGGTTCCTCTTTCTCCTGATATCTCTCTCAAGCTTTAGAGCTTTAGGTATTGGTTCCTCTTCTCCTGATATCTCTCTCAAGCTTGAGAGCTTTAGGTATTGTTTCCTCTTTCTCCTGATATCTCTCTCAAGCTTTAGTTATTGGTTCTTCTTTCTCCTGATATCTCTCTCAAGCTTTAGGTATTGGTTCCTCTTTCTCCTGATATCTCTCTCAAGCTTGGGAGCTTTAGGTATTGGTTCCTCTTTCTCCTCCTATCTCTCTCAAGCTTTAGGTATTGATGTTGAAACAATATTTTACACTTTGACTTGGCACCTTTCTTTAAATCAGTTTTTGTCGCCAAGTCAAAGTGTAAAATATTGTTTCAACATCAATTTTTGGCAAAATCTTAAAAACTATACCTCTTTTGTCAGTTTTTTAATGTTGAAAACCTTTATAAGACCTCTGATGATGCAAAATTGTACAAAATTTAACAATTTCAAGCATGAAAATGTTAATCTTTATGTTTAATGTATACCAAAGACTTGATTAAAAAACTTGGTAATGGGGAATCAATTTCTTACAGCTGAATCAACTATACATTTAATATATGTCAAAATGTAACATGAAATCTTGATAAAAATAATGAATTGATATATTCGCAAGAAAAAATACAAAACATTCAATACTTAGGCTACTACATACTGTGCAATCCTTCAGAAGCAAGGGTTTAGCAAATAGAGTACAATTATAAGCCTTGTGTCAAAATGTCTAATTTTGGTTGCTAAGGACTGTAAACAATAAAATTGACATGTATTGTCATTCTTAAACACTTAATCCCCTCAGAAGTTGATTTAGAATCTAAATATCAATATATTTGTGGTATGAAAAGTCTTAAATTATACAATTCTGAGCTTGGTAAATATGCCATAAGGTAGCAATAAACAGTTAGGAAAAAATATTAAAATTTCCCCTCATAAATTTTACCATCCCCTTTTCATTGCCTTCTTGCAATATTAAGCTTACTGTTTGTGTCATATATGTGCATATGTATGTAATCAGAATCTTCCATAGATTTCATATCCAGTATATAAAATGGTAAAATATAATTTCTTTTTGGTGTATCCATGGCAACAATCTGCAATTTTTTGTTATAAAATATAGCAAAAAGGGGGGAAAAGATATCACATATTTCCCCAAAATTTGGCCAAAAGTAGAATTTCAATCACTTCAAGTAATACCTTTTCTGAAACTGTTTACATATATCTTTCAATTAATCCAATGAAAATCATATGTCTTTCGTCTCATTTTTTTGTAAAATTGCGTCAAAAACTTCGTGTAGAAAAAAAGTGTTTGTAAACATTACATTAATTTCTGGACCGATGACCGGTCTAGCTATGAAAATACGGAGAGTCAAACAGAAAATAGCCCATAAAACATGTAAAAAATAATCTTGATGTTATATAGATACAATGGATAAGCGTGGATTCTTGAAAAAGAAACCATGAGCCCGGAGGGCGAATGGTTTGTTTTTCATGAATCTACGCTTATCCATTGTATCTATAACTTAAACTATTGTGTTAATTTCTTTTCAAAATCAAAGCCTTTTCTTAATTAGAAGGTATTGTAAGTGAGTTTAAATAACCATGTTGTCGTGTCCAACGATGCATTGATAAATCTAAGATCACAATTAATTGGTTAACAAAATACAAATATAACACTTCTACCTTTAAAGATCTTTATATTACTAGGCATATGAATATTATCTGTCTATACAAAATAAGACATATTCGAAATTATTTCTAATAAAATTGAAAATGGAAATGGGGAACGTGTCAAAGAGACAACAACCCGATTAAAAAGCATATATAAAGTATATATAATAAGTATGTTATCGAAATTTTTTTTCTAGCAATCTAGGCACATCACGATTTTCTCGCATAGGAATTTGCGAAAAAACCTTGGTAAAATTATGTAGTAAAACAGATGAAATCATACTATATTTATAAAACAAAAATTGACAAATAGAATGTAATCATTTTTGTTTCAAACCTGTGAAATAGCCAATAATAATAAAATAAAAACCGGTAAAACTCGCTATTATTACAAAAATATCCGCTATAACTTGCAAAATTAGAAAAAAAACCAGGATAACTTAAGAATTGGAACAACAGAGGGAATACAGGGATTCGAACCTAAAACGACAAATCCCGATCTTTAACTCATTGATTTTAACCATGCTAACCTCGCGGCTACCAACTCCTACTATACGACTGCATATTCTGTCTATATAAAGGTACAAGCCCTGTGTGTCCGATTAACCGATGTTTATCAGATGTTCATTTAAATATATAAAATAAACATCTATAGTGTAACCCATTGGTAGCCGAGAGGTTTCGTCGGTGTGTTGATGTCAGTCAAACATAACAGATTTCAAGGAAGGGTTCGATTCCCAGTGAAGGCATATAAAAATTACAAAAATTAAAGGTAATTTTTAAATTAATTCCATTAGTGAATAGAAATCAGTAAATTAGCTAATTCAAACTTAATGAAATTAGGCACACAAAGGAAACAATTGAATATAATTTGGTGAGTCAATTTCAGCGGTAGATTTAGGATGCGTTGATTCTAGAAAAAGAATCCACTGTAAATGAATAGGCTGACGTCACCACAATGGTTTAAGTTCTTATAAACCACCTTTGAAGGCTAAATTAGTACTCAGCTGTCTAAAAATGAATTTTATTACACAATAACTTTCATATTTGAAAAATCCACCGGGGCCAAAATGCGAAACAAAACTCCTAACTGTGTATTGCTACCTTAATAGTAAATATTTTTTTCAAATTCTCCCTTTTAACTAATTTTCTGTGTTCTGCTAGCTAAAACAAGTAAAATGGCCTTTTATTTTTGAAAATTGGTTGAGTAATGAATATTTTATGAAGGTTAGCAGTTGACACTGAAACGCGACAAAAACTGATTTAAAGAAAGGTGCCAAGTCAAAGTGTAAAATATTGTTTCGACATCAATTTTTGGCAAAATCTTAAAAACTATACCTCTTTTGTCAGTTTTTTAATGTTGAAAATCTTTATAAGACCTCTGATGATGCAAAATTGTACAAAATTTAACAATTTCAAGCATGAAAATGTTAATCTTTATGTTTAATGTATACCAAAGACTTGATTAAAAAACTTGGTAATGGGGAATCAATTTCTTACAGCTGAATCAACTATACATTTAATATATGTCAAAATGTAACATGAAATCTTGATAAAAATAATGAATTGATATATTCGCAAGAAAAAATACAAAACATTCAATACTTAGGCTACTACATACTGTGCAATCCTTCAGAAGCAAGGGTTTAGCAAATAGAGTACAATTATAAGCCTTGTGTCAAAATGTCTAATTTTGGTTGCTAAGGACTGTAAACAATAAAATTGACATGTATTGTCATTCTTAAACACTTAATCCCCTCAGAAGTTGATTTAGAATCTAAATATCAATATATTTGTGGTATGAAAAGTCTTAAATTATACAATTCTGAGCTTGGTAAATATGCCATAAGGTAGCAATAAACAGTTAGGAAAAAATATTAAAATTTCCCCTCATAAATTTTACCATCCCCTTTTCATTGCCTTCTTGCAATATTAAGCTTACTGTTTGTGTCCTATATGTGCATATGTATGTAATCAGAATCTTCCATAGATTTCATATCCAGTATATAAAATGGTAAAATATAATTTCTTTTTGGTGTATCCATGGCAACAATCTGCAATTTTTTGTTATAAAATATAGCAAAAAGGGGGGAAAAGATATCACATATTTCCCCAAAATTTGGCCAAAAGTAGAATTTCAATCACTTCAAGTAATACCTTTTCTGAAACTGTTTACATATATCTTTCAATTAATCCAATGAAAATCATATGTCTTTCGTCTCATTTTTTTGTAAAATTGCGTCAAAAACTTCGTGTAGAAAAAAAGTGTTTGTAAACATTACATTAATTTCTGGACCGATGACCGGTCTAGCTATGAAAATACGGAGAGTCAAACAGAAAATAGCCCATAAAACATGTAAAAAATAATCTTGATGTTCTTATAAACCACCTTTGAAGGCTAAATTAGTACTCAGCTGTCTAAAAATGAATTTTATTACACAATAACTTTCATATTTGAAAAATCCACCGGGGCCAAAATGCGAACCAAAACTCCTAACTGTGTATTGCTACCTTAATAGTAAATATTTTTTTCAAATTCTCCCTTTTAACTAATTTTCTGTGTTCTGCTAGCTAAAACAAGTAAAATGGCCTTTTATTTTTGAAAATTGGTTGAGTAATGAATATTTTATGAAGGTTAGCAGTTGACACTGAAACGCGACAAAAACTG